TATACACATCCAGCCATCTTCAGAGTCGTCATCGCCATGGTGAGTCCTGCACCATGAGTCATTGCAGAGTGACTGGGTAACTGGGTTGTGACTGGATTAGTAGCTGGTACAGACTGGGTAAATCTGTAACGAGCGTGCAGGCGGTGTGTCGGAGAATGCGACCAAATAGCCACCAGCGAGTCGCACTGAGAGGACTGAGGTGGAAAGACGCCTCCGTTTTTGTGTCGCGGAAGTTCTGGCCATCGTGGTGCCCATACATCTGGGCTTATTGAGGCAGAGAGCATAGGTACATCCTGCTTTGAAGGGTGTCTGCTGCTTGAGACGAGGAGGTCTTCAGTTCTGGAGGCACAGAGGTGAGTCTGTTGGGGTCGGAGTGTGCACTGCCTCCGTGGCCCCAGGGAGGAGAAGCCAAGGCTCTTTCATCAGCCTGGTGGCTCTTGATCCCCCCCCCCCCCCCCCCCCCGCCCCCTTGGAGAAGGACGGAGGAGGATTTGCATTGACGTTACAGATTGACAAGTCTCGTCTTTGCCGGTTATCCAGTGACTTGGTCCGTGGGCCATCCCCGAAGGGATGGTGACGTCCTCGGCACTTATGGACTGGGAACGCCTGACTCTCCCTAAAATGGAAGCCAAGATAAGCCAGGGTGGGGGGTAGAGGAGGGGGGTGTTGCTGGGCGGCAGGTGCAACCAAATGACTTCAAGGGCCCCCCTCAGCCAGGTCAGAGTGCCCTGTGACCCCTGTCCTATCATACATCTTTATTTTAAGAAGGTGTAAAAAAAAAAAAAAAAAGTCGCCCAATCAGAAGCCCCCCTTCTAAATTTTGTGCCCCCAGTGCGGCATCTGTCCGCGCCTCTGTATCCTCGAGGATAGGTGAAAGGGAATGCCACCCTCCATGGATCATCGGGTTACATGCCCCCTGAACAGGAGTGCAGAGCAACCAGAGCAACCCGGTCCCTTCATGGCTTGGCTTGAGCATACAGGTCCCGGACCCATGTTGGCCCAATGTGGATCTACTGTGAACCATGACGGCGGGACAGTCAGTGACCGTGCAGCAACCACAGCAGCTGCGGACGGTCACGCTCCTGTCCGAGCAACGCTGTGCCTCTGTTTACACACGCGGGCCCATCCTACACAGACACATGATGTCAAGAACACCCCTGAGATTCCAAGGCGACTCTGCAAACTTTTTAAAACTCCTTCGGTGGCCGGTGGCATCGTGGCCGGAGCCGAGAGCTCAAGGATGAAGACGCGCTCGATTTCACGTGCAGGGTCACCCGGGCGCCATAGGGGACGCAGCTGGGTGTGGTCCTCGCCCTGCCGGCCAGGACACAAAAACCAAGCACCGCCGGAGACCTTTCAAAATAGGCAATGCAGACCCGTCGCCGTCAGCATTAAAACAGTCAGCAGGTGGCGTAACACTTAACTATTAACACTTAACGTAACACTGAAGCTATTCTGAAGGCAGAGAATTGAAAATGAATATGTGTGGATGATGACAAGATTGAAAACATGCTAAATACAGCAACTACCCAACAAATAACGAAATAATATTAATAAGAGTAAGGCAATAGAATTGGCATGCAGCTCGGGCAAGGCGCCGCATTCGGGACCTTAGCGCTGTCCTCTGTGTCCTTACAGCCCTTAATGTAAAAAATAATGTATTCTTCTTCTGTGAAGAATTTGCAAGAAAACAAATAAGACTGGTTTGTTGTTTGATATATGGCACAATAACGAAGATGAAGGAAAACACGTCACGTTATAAGTAAACTGGTCATGCAGTAACATAACCAGCATAATGAAATGCAAAGTAGCCCATTATTCCCTAAGCAGTAGTGAAACTCACCGGGCACTGGGACTCGATTCGCTAACACGCTTATCAAACTCACAATGTAGCGACTGTTAGCTTGGGGTTATAGTATATTAGCAGGATTAATACAAGATATGAAGTGATTATTTCATAATCGATGCAACTGGGATGCATTTTTCCGCCGAAAACAGAAGATCTGAGGAATCCAGATGCGGGCCAAGCTCTTTAGAAAGGGGTACAATCGCTCCATTTAATGTGCTTAATCGAGACTGAAGCCCGCCGGTGCTGGGTCCTGGTTTAATTACAATAATTAATTACAAAATGTTTCTGTCCGCATTTTCCCCCTAAATGAAGTCACAGCATTTCCCCGAAGCTGTTAAAGCTGATAGGAACGATCTTCATTAAATGAGGAAATGCACACAAAACGTGCGTGTATATTTGTCTGAAAAATCAGACCACTATGTCCAAATAATAAAAAAGTATTGATATCTGTTTTGGACAACGTATGTAAAATGAAAAAGTGTTAAATGCGTCTGACGGGTAATGGTGGCAAGCCGCCTCATATCACAATGTGTGAATAACGGCATGGAAAAAGGAAGAAAACCTACTCAAAAACACAAATATTTACTGGAAAACCAGGCTGCTAAAACTTTTGCTAGGCCTACAAACGGCGAAAAATCATTATTTATATTCTTTGGCAAAAAGGAGATGTTTAGAGAAACATAGTAACTAAGACTGCCAAGCTGTTTCCCACATAATGGAATTTGATGTCATAATGGCACTTGACGGATGTACCTACAAATTGGCTTATTGTGAAACAATGTTGCCGTAGTGGAAAGTGCCGCCCTTAGGGGTTATTTTCAACAGGCTACCGGCAAACCAAATTAATTCCCCCTGCTCAGCTGTCGTCTGTAGACTGCATTTCCATTAAAAGGTTACATTGTGTCTGTGGACCAAAAGAGCTTTTATTTCTCCGCAACCCATCAAGTAGACCCCGCCCCATCTTTACTATAAATAATTGATTTAAAGGTTTTTTTTTAAAAAAAAAAAAAAAAGCACCGAAGGATGTGATTAAATCCGAGGCAGGTAGCCGGAGCTCTGTTCCTCTGCCATCATTAATACAAGCGGCGCCTTTGTTAAAATAAACTGTGTCACATCAATAAAATACTGTACTAAGCAAATGTGTCAGTTGTCTGTTCCGTGCCGTATCATTTATGAACCTTCCCCCCCTTCCCAAGCCTGACTGCCTGCCCGCTTGTTTCACACTGACCGCATTCCGGTGACACCGCCGCGGTCACCTACATGCATGCGGTCCCACTCAGCGCCACGAGTCTCCGCATCGCCGAGGAGGAGTGGTGGTGGTGGTGGTGGGGGGGGGGGGGGGGGCCGGGAAGGGCGCCCGCCGCTATCCGCATTCACCGCAATGCCGCCGCAGCTTACCTATAACCGAACACGGAGGCATCCAGGGTGGGGGGGAAACTCACAGGCGTTCGGTCCGATCCGCGGAGAGGAAGCTGGAGCTGAGGCGCCGGGATTAAAGGTCCACGAGGTCCACGCAGATGTGGGGTCGTTATAGGCGGTGCGCAGCGCCGCGGAAACCATACACCTGCTCCCGCGTTTGTGGAAACGGTCCAGATAAAGTGGGGTCGCCCATGAGCAATGTCAGCGCCAGGCAGCACCCTCCTTTCGGGTCAGTCGCTCTTCAGCAGAGTTGGACAGCGGTCGACAGAGCATTGCAGCAAAACGGGCTCCGTCCGAAGGAAAGCGCAGCGCAGCGCAGCGGCGGCGGGCTCACATTTCCCTGCATCCTACATGCCGCCGCACGGACAGCTCAGCGGCGTAAACAGACAGGCGTGTTACGTTGTCGCGCTCCTGCCCGCTTGGCTTCGCCCGCAGTCAGGTTGGCAGGATCGCCCTCCTGTGCCACTCCGTGCAAAATGGCTGGTGGACTGAGCCCCGCTACATGCAGCTCATTGGCTTAACGCTGGTTTTCTGTAGCCATGGAAACGATCGCGCGGGGGGGGCATGGCTGACCCGTGTGTGGGGGGCGGGCGGTGTCCCACCTTTCCTGGGGCAGCGCGAATTAAATGACTTTAGTCGCTTTAGTCGGTGACGCGCATGAATAATAAAGGCGCCACGCGTTCATCGTTAAGATTTACGGCGGGCGCGGGTGTCCTCGCGGGCATCACACCGCACTGTCACGCGTTAGGAGACAGCGGACCGGTCCCTTAAGGGCTTCACAGACCAAACGCGGCATGCGCTGTACACGCCGCGTTTGGTCTGTGAAGCCCTTTACACCGCGATAAACAAACGCTCCTCAGGATACTAATACCGAACAAGATAGTACGGTATTGTCGGAAACATTAATGCCCTAATTATTAACGGTGACGTACGGGTCCCGAGAGACCAGGGGCGGCCAGGAGCGGATTTCAGAGATATTTGGCAGCTGCACTGAAGGTGAAGTCCGGCTGCTGTGCTCGGCCTCATAATGAAGCAGATCGCTGTGTAAAGCTCCCGTCCAAAGCCTGCCTGATTACATTCATTATTTATGCGGAAGAAACTGGACCACTTTACAGCTGCAGCTGTTTATACATAAGAGAATGTAGCTAATGTGCTAAAGTAAATGTACCCACTGCCTTATAACAGCGGCCCCCCACCCCATCCAGGGACAGGGATCAAGACCTGCTGGCTTTTCATTGCCCTGCCGCTTCCTCATCAGGCCATTACCAAGGTATCTGAGGTAGCCTCAAACCTACAAGCAAGCGCAAAAATCTAAGGCGGGTCCTGCGCCTGCTCTGGTCTGCTGCCATTTACACACTGAGGTGTTTATGATACTTGGAGGGGGGGGGGGGGATCATCTGTGACCCTGGTGCTATGCCCCCTGGAGTCGGGGGGAGTTAGGGTTGTCCAACATAATTGGATATGTATGGGTTGGGGGCCCAATGTGATACACATTCATGGGGTCCAGAACCTGTAGTGGTGCCCCTGCCCAGTGGGATGATGTGGTTAGAGCCCTCTGCAGTGGTCACAGTAGCAGGGTGCAGACCCCTCGCATGCTGGGTCAGTCTGGGCCTCGACCTGCTTTAGCGGAGTGCTCTCAGAAGGCGTTTCCTGTTATGGCCAGACTGCGCTCGCTATAGCAAAGGGAAGGAGGCGATGTCCAGAAAGATAGATCTGTGGAACATTGTTAAATGGATCAGACATGGAGACAGAAAAAGACTTAAACAATAAAGGCAGATAGAAAAACATATGAAATAGTGCATATTAATGAAGATCCTGAAAAACTGCGTGACAGAAAACAGAATGAATAAGTGACTATTATTATTATTGGTAATACGACTACTAATAATGATACAATAACATGAGACAGTCCTTCAGTATCCTGATTCCAGCTCCGATTCCGGGTCTTTCTGTAGTGAGTGATGTCATCCCTCCCTAGCTGATGTTTTTACATTATTAATAAAATATAATTAAAAAAATTAAAACCTAGTATCAGAGCCATTATTCAGAGCAGCGCAGTGAAGCACCTACTTCATTAGTAAATAAGATATTATGCTGAAAAAAAAATCAATGTACGTGAACTTTACCCCGGGAAATTTCCAGAACGGTGGGGTTTAAAGGCTGGGCCTGTGATGACTGCACTACATGTTGCTCTGTTCTTTTTAAGGAAATTTAAGTGCAGTATTTATTGTTATGATATCACCCACTGTCGCCCTCTATTGTGGCTAGAGATCCCCTTACACATCTCTCATCTGGCTGCTTCATTAAGGCCGCTACTCCTTTCATTTTGGCTTCACGCTGTGCTGCACCCACCAAACACTCCCCAAATATAACCATCTTCAGCGCTGACCTTTTCTGGGGTCCTGCTCTGTCTCCGGTGACATCCACCTGGCGTGGAAACCAGCGGGCAGTCGAGTGGTCACTCTTATCTGCCTTGTCTGGTCTGCTCCGGTCCCGGTCTAGGTGGGGGGGGGGGGCGAGGCGTGGGGGGATCTCTGAGGACCGTCTGGAATGCTGTCGCCTGTAAACATTGCAGCAGATATAGACCCTCGATGCTGTTTACAGACTTTCTGAGGCGATGTCATCGCAGATGTGTACCCCCCCGCCCCAGCAAAAGGCTGCATTTGAGGTCACACCGATGCCTGTGATTATCTCCCCGGTTATAAATACGTCCTGGCATTATGCTGCCTATCACTTATTGAAACTCCAGGCAATTGGAGGAGGTTGCAGATAAACGGTGGAGGGAATGGGACCATTATCTTTGGCCTTCTCGTGCTCCGGCATTCCACTGGGTTTCACATTCCCAACATCAAATATTGACACCTTATCGGGCTGGCCGGATTTGGACATGCTGGGTAGAGGACGGGGCGCGCAGGGTGGCGTCGGTGACCAGTGCGGACCTTGGCGCGGCTAAATGAATCTGCTTTGGCGGCGTGACCCCCTTCAGGGCAGGAGAGTCGCTTTGCGCAGCGTTATTACACAATCCTCAAAAATTTACAAAGTCCAAATCTGTGAAACCCGGGGGCTTTTTGCAGGGTCGGTGGACTTTGTACTGCGGTATGTGAGACATTCCCTTGGAGCAGCAGAGTTTAGCCTCTGTTAGTAGCACATTAACTAAAGTGGCATTGCCATGCCTCCTGTCACCAGAGGGGGGCGGCGCCGTGCCAACTGCAGGTGTAACTGATGCTGCGCAGATGCCGGCTTCTCCTGGGCTGCCAGCTACGTAAGTGATGCTCGTTAGACTCGAGTGCTGGCCGGGTAGCTGAAGTAGTCGCTACACATTCTGTTTGCTGACAGCGACCCCCCCCCCCCACACACACACACACAGCCCCTTCCGCACAGAGAAGCTCGATTTGGTCTCCTTCCACAAAAGCATCATGAAGCAACTATTTAACCCGGACAAAAGGTGAATTGCTGAGGAATTTTATTGAACCTCCTCGTCTTTTTATCATCTCAAATGTCGTCGTTTGGTATTCTAAGCAGTTGTATGTTTTATGCGCCTTAAAATCTGGAGAACAGCGTGTCGTTTTTGAGTCTTTACATAAAGCAGGACCCTACAGCCAAGAATAGAAGGTGGAGATTAGGTAAGATTTCCATTCGCGCTGAAAGCAGTGGAACAAGCCTCTTGCTCTATACGTCAGCTGTCAGAAAATCAGACGTAGACCCTCAGCCACAAGGTGATGTCACCACCACCCCCCCCCTCGATCTTTCCTAGAAGCCCGCTTGCTGTTGGCTGGCCGCGTGTGAAGTTTGACCCGCACATCCACGGCTGCTGGGCCACAGCAGGCAGCCTGGGAAGAGCGCGCTGGGGCACACCAAGGGGCGCAGGCTTGCAAGATAACAACAGGCCCGCTTCTATAAAAAGGGCCGGCCCGCTGTGTGATACCGCGGTGCCAGGCCTGCTGGAGCAGGCTTCCTGATGGGCCCAATGCAGGCTTTATGAGAAGGGGGGGCGGGGAGGGAGATAAGGACGATGGGATGATAATGAAGGACAAGTTATAGCCTGCAGGGGTGGGGGGTGATCTGTGGCGGTATTTTAGCACTCAGGACCCCCTTCTCACTTCTGAGACTGGGCCCTCAATGACCAGGCCACAGTGACAGGGCCCTCAGAGCTGGGGCCCCAGCGACGGGCCATCAGAAACAAGGTCCTCAGAGACTGGGCCCTAAGAGACGGGCCCCAATAACAGGGCCCTCAAAGATGGGGCCCCGGTGACTGGGCCCTCAGAGATGGGGCTCCGGTGACTGAGCTCTCAGAGACTGGGCCCTAAGAGACGAGCCCCAGTAACAGGGCCCCCAGCGATGGGCAATCAAAAACAAGGCCCTCAGAGACTGGGCCCTCAAACACCAGGCCACAGCAGCTGGGCCCTAAGAGACGGACCCCTGGTGACTGAGCTCTCAGAGACTGGGCCCAAAGAGACGGATCCCTGGTGACTGAGCTCCCAGAGACTGGGCCCTAAGAGACGGGCCCCGGTGACTGAGCTCTCAGAGACTGGGCCCTAAGAGACGGGCCCCCGGTGACTGAGCTCTCAGAGACTGGGCCCTAAGAGATGGGCCCCGGTGACTGAGCTCTCAGAGACGGGGCCCTAAGAGATGGGCCCCGGTGACTGGCCCTCAGAGACGGGGCCTTCAAAGCCCAGGCCTGCAGGACTGGACTGGACAGGCAGACATGCCAGAGAGAGAGAGGGAGAGAGAGTGAGAGAGCATGTCTCCAATTCACCACAAACTGGTTTACTGGCATGAAAACGTCCCCCTTTTTAAGACCAGTAAGGAGAAAGAAGCCCCACCCCCACCTACAAACAGAAACAAAGCCAAAAATCGGTGCTTAGCATGGAAGACTGAGGGAAATTTTTACGGTTCATTTAAAAGAGGCCACCAGAGCTTTTTCCCACACCCGTAACCATGGGCAACCACAGGAAGCGGGATTCCCGCGCCTGGCAGGTGTCGGTGCCCAGACAGGGCCTGGCAGTGGGCTGCGGGTTCGGCGCCCTCCTTGCCACTGCCGAGGTGCAGCTCAGCCCTCAATTTGTTCCAAACACCACCCCCCCGGCAGCCACCATTAATCCCAGGCCCTGATTATCGGCATAGCCGATGTAGCCATAATAATTATATTAGAGAAAATGCGCGCTATCGCTCACATCCGCCACTGAGACAGCGATTCACACACAGCTCGTTAGGAGCGCTAATGAACATCACCAGGGCACGCTGACCTGATTCCACAGAGTGAAGTCTGCAATGTTCCCCGCATCTGTCTGCAGGGGCGCCATGTGCACGGTTGCCATGACAACGGCTGCCCCCAGCGGACACTTGCGGAGTCATAACCCTGCCTGTTTCTGCTCCGCTATTCCAGCATGCACTGTACCCCATGGAGAAGAGGGGGTGTCTGACTGCTTTGAGGGAAGGGGGGGGGGCTCCTGTTTTCTTGTATCACTATGCAGCTGAAGTGTGTCACAGCCTAAAGTGAATGTAGCTGATTTGGGGGCTTTGGTGTGGGTGGGGGGGGCGGGGGGTGGGGGCACTGAGCTGATGGGAGCCCCTGGGGGCCAATGTGTCCCATTTCAAAAGGGTGAGTTTTAATTTGCTCCTTAAATGCGTTTTCAGGGGTCATTATCTCATTGACAGCTTCTGTGTAGAGAAGCCATTTTCACACCCGGGCAGGC